CAAAATTGCTATTTCTTCTTTCAAATGTTTAATACTTGTAAAAGTATTCTTTTGACATTGAGCGTTACCTATAATGCGAAGAGATGGCGCTGCCTTGCAGCTTAAGAATGGCTAGAAGAATTTCGACGCGGTCCGTGAGGACCGCGGTAGCATAATTGGTCAGTGCATTCGCCCGGATTGCGAAGGGTGCGGGTTCGAGTCCCGTCTGCTGCCTGGTCCGCGTGGATTTTTTTCTAGTTATATTTTCTTTTGGACAAGTTTTGAGCATTTGCTCACACATACGAGTAACTGTGGCGCGCCTACCCCGCCCACAAGACCCTTCTAATCTCTTTCGGTGTTCTGTGGTTTCAATACTAAAAACAAAACCACAATATATTGTTTTAAACTTTCATGGTCACTAACATTATAGATATTAACGGGATTGTTACCATGTACCTTGTTTTTTTATAGTAACCGAAGTTACTCCGTGATCATGGCGCTTGCAACAGTGCCGAAATATCGGAGACTCATAAAAAACAAGGTACATGGTAACAATCCCGTTAACATCTATAAAACCACAATAAGCCAAATAATAACAAATATACATTGAAAATATGTTACAACTAAAAGTTGATATATATAAGCACGTTGTTTGCGCAGAGCCTAATGCAGAATCACACGTACCTCACTAATGAGCGTCTGAGAGACCGCAGTATCCAGTGCGGGGCATAGCTGTCTAATGATCAACTATTACAGTTGTTTTGACGTAAATGGAACGTTTTACCTCTTCATCTCATATAAACAAATAATTTACAAAAAAACCGAGCGACTCTTACAGTAGTCGCGTATGATGTGTAACATTTGAAAACCTCGCCTTATATTATACTAGTGTAGAGCTGTAGTTTAGATTATATTTTTGTTCTCAGGTTTCTATTAAACACAATAATTTTCTTTAAATAGGTACCTAATTACTAAAGACACGCGCCGCCGCCGCCCCCCCGGCCAGTACTGCCCGAACCGGTATGTTCCTGCATTTTAAATCTGTAATATCTTCGAAAATAGTCATTCAAATTGCATGCTGTAGAGGGTTATATTGATCTATATTACACGCACAATGTATTTAAGGTACTTATTTGGTGTACAATACTGTAGTACATTATTTTGATCTATCTCGTTGGTTTCAGCCAGCGTTTGCAATGTAAGCGCAAAAAAATGTGTTTATTTACAACCTTATATTAAAAACCTCTAAAATTATCAGTGTTTCTCTACTATATTATGCATGTATTATACATATAAACCTTCCTCTTGAATCACTCTATCTAATAAAAAAAGCCGCATCAAAATCCGTTGCGTAGTTTCAAAGATTTAAGCATACAAAGGGACATAGGGACGGAGAAAGCGACTTTGTTTTATACTATGTAGTGATGATTAGTAAAAAAAAAACCTACTACAAAAGGAATAAGCCATTTGAACATTATGTTCTAAAATCAAATCAAATAGCGCGCTCTTTCGCGACTTTCTGTTACACACTTCCGTCCCATTTCACGAAATCACTCCCACATATTGCAGGAAAGCGAGAGGAAAGATGTTACACATAAAAAAATGCACTTAAGAGACTTGCTTGAATTTGACATTATTGAGAATGTATCTGGCGACAACATCAACTTTATACTCCCATCAATGCCGTCATGGATCGCGTGATTAAGCCAAAATTATCTTCAAAGCCGTAAGATGAAAACAAAATATGTAGACAAGAGTGCGACAAAAATATGCATTTCAATCGGTAAGACATCTAGAAACAGGATTGCAGAAATAAAATTACCCTGTAATTCTTATGATGCCTACTATAAAATCTCCCCGTGTCACCAGCAAGAAACAGTCAGCAAAAACTAGAAGCATTGCGGTCCCTTCCGAGTAGGCACTGATATGGAGCGATAGTACGTGAGCTGGCAGCCCCACTTTCTAGCCGCAATGATGCTGTGTCGGTTGAGGTCGTTTTATGGAGAAAAGCTTTATACAATAACAAGCTTTACTTAAAGAAAAAAGAACTTTGGAAAAAAAGCTTTTCATAAACTTTATGTAACTATGTGTAGTATATAAGTAGTGTCAAAATTAAATCTACGAGCTTTACTGTTCGTTGTATTTTTACTATTAGGACCGTGGTAGCATAAGGCTAGGACTCCACCAAAGCAGAGATGTGTGCGATGTGCTGTGTGCTATGCGAGAAGAGATGTTTTTCAGCTCGGGAGTGAGGTGTTAAGTGCTGGAGTGAGTTGCTGGCGGGCGAGAGGGGGGAGGGTGACACCGCTCACTGCACGCCGCTCACATCTCTCGTCTCCACTGCGCGTCGTCCGCGCACAGCTCACATCTCCGCTTCCATCGCGCCATACAAATATTACACATCTCCACACAGCGATCCCCACTGAAGCTGAGCGGATAGGAGATGTGTCAATAACACAATTCTATTGGTTGTTTAAAAAACATCTCTCCGCTCGTCTCGTCTCCGCTTTGGTGGGGTCCCGGCCTAATGCTCAGTGCATCCGCCCGGATCAGCGGAGTGTGCGGGTGCGAGTCGCGTCAGCTGGGTCGCGTGGAATTTTATCTGGTAAATTTTCTTTAGATTTAACATGTAGCAGATAAATGCTTAAAAAATAAAAATATAGCTACAATTGCTATTTCTTCTATCATATGTTTAATACTTGTAAAGGTGTCGTTTGACGTTGAGGGTTGCCTACAATGTGAAGAGATGGCGCTGCCTTGCAGCCTAGGAAATACTAGAAAATATCGACACGGCCTTTAGGGTCGCGGTAGCATACGGTCAGTGCGTCCGCCCGGATAGCGGAGGGTGCGGGTTCGAGTCCCGGTCTGCTGCCCGGTCCGCGTGGAATATTTCCAGGAAAATTTTCTTTAGATTTACTGTTCGTTTTAAAAATTTACTACCAATAACGTCCATAATTATTTGTATTTATTTTAATATAATTTAAATTAACGTTGTTAACTTTTTTTCACGGCCATCATAGTGTGCCGCTACTATAGCATAGTATGTTTGGACTAATTCACGATTCCAAAGGAGGAAACGTGGAGTAAACGTAGATGGAAGGCCTGGCATTAAAAAAGATCATGCTCTGGGCAGAGTGTATACAATACACCCTAAAAATACAAAATGTTTTCAAATTCGAATGCTACTCCATGAACGACAACGATATTAAATACCCTAAATACACCAACACGAACAAAATCGTGCCCGAAACCTGTCCAAAAGGTACATTGAACGATCCACGGAGCTCCGAAAGATGATCGCGTAGTCAAAATCAATATAAGGCATTATTTAAATATTGAAAGTCACCTTTAATATATACTGTATAAGGTCTTAAATAAACAATTTAGACCTTAGTTCTTTGACTACGCGCAATTCTGAACGCGCTGTTAGCAATATAGCAGGCACGGACCGCGAGGAAAAGAGACGGCTATGTGGCGACGTATAACCGACCATGCATTTGAATATCACAAATATTTTATATTAAATCAGTTTATTTATAGTATGTTTACATTAACAAGATACCTGTCGAAAAAACGACACTTTTCGTACTGTATTTTTTTCGCGGAGCTCTGTGGCATCTTGACTTTGTAACGGTCCGCGCGTGACTGTGAACCAAGAAGTGCTTGAGTGGAGTTCAAGCACTTCTTAATTGGTACACATTTTGAGCGCTCGTGGTGTATCTAGGGTATTTAATATCGTTGATTATAAGCAGTAAATGATTTAGTACACCCTAATGATCAGTCTTCTCGCAAGGCTTTTGGTTTGCTTGAAAACGATGACAGCATTTTGAGTCAGGCAGCATTGTGTCAATCACCACATATAATAATCATGTTGGTGTTTTGGCAAGTGTCTAATCTATTAAGTCTGTGGGATAAATTTTAAGAATATCTTTCAGAAGATTTTAAATAAAAAATCAAAATACATGTAGAACATGTCCATTTAATGTTTACCAGTGTCTGATGTAAATACAAGAAGCCCCTTTAAGTTTAGGCGGGCTTTCCCTAAAAAAGTACAGCTTACAACAACCAAGCAGGTATATAGGATTAGAAAATAAAGAATTGTCACATCGTTAAGTACCTAACCTTTTTACCGGCTATAGTACTTCCATCCTAGACAATCATTTTAGGTTTTTCATAATACTTTTGTAAGTTTCTCTGTTCTGCTCTGAAACGTCAGGATTAAAGTATATTTTTACATAATAACTGGTTCTTGAATTGCACAGGAAATGTCCCGCTTTTTTTAAAAAAATCACCACATATTTGTCACTTTATTTATGTTTTCAAATATAAAACAGTAACTTTGTATTTTTTAAAGAGTAAGCAGATTGATGAAAATATGCTACTAGAATCATTAAGTCTACGCGGACAAAGTCGCGGGCAAACGCAAGTCTACAATAATTTTCTAAGTGTCGCCGCACACGGGCCACCGACCACAACCACTAAACACCGCCACCGGCATATTTCTTTAGTTTTCATACATTTTATATGGACTCGCCACACACGGTACGCCGGTGGCATGCTACAAATCGTCGTTGCTCGCATCTTGTGGCCCGCACCGGCCACTTAATGCGCCGATATAAAACGCCGCCACACGTCACTCGCGCGATTCCGCACCCCTCTCTCACTTACCTTAGTCGGCCGCTGTCGCGTGCTTCAGCCACTTTAGTAGCCGCTTCTAGCTTCTCGTGGCGGCGTTTGTAGCTGTGGCGTATGGCCCGTGTGCGGCGACTCTAATGTGCCCTGTCCGTCATATAGGATTTTACATCTTCATGGGAAACTTACTAAATATCTGGATTATGTTTTCTTCCTTATAATAATATATTGGTATCACTTACATAATGGTACCTTACTAATGATAACTAACTTTATGAAGGCTTTATAAGAAAAAAGCAGTTACAGTATAGGGTCAGGTTTTGGTTGATGGATAGTTTCATTGACATCATCAAGAAAAAGGAGCGAGAGTATTATAAAAATAAAACGTTTGGGTAATTTATAACTGGTTTTATTTATTTGTACATCAGGTACATTATAATTGCTATAAAGAAAAATCTTTTTCGTCCTTTCTATCTTAGAAACAAATCAGTTTTCTTATTTTTAAGGCTTTTGACGATATTAATAAATCAATTTTTAATTACTATTACAGATCTCATATCACATAAAATAAAATATTAAATAATTTAATCGATAAATTCATCAATGATTGCGAAACACTAAAAATAATGGTAACTACGATTAAAATCACTAAATTTTCTAATAACTAAATCCTTGCCAAATTCTAAATCAAAGTAAATACAACCATATACAGAGAGCTTAATATTCGATAAATTATTACAGTTTTCATACTATTTTTGAACTTGGCGCAAAAAACATTTGATTTTCAGGTGACATAAATAGTTTCTTATTGAGATTTCAGGCTTTGCGCGTGTGGTGGTAAGGGTCTGGCATTGCGTCTGTGTTCCTCTGACTCTTTCGACTCAGTGCTCTCACTTGCAGCGTTCGACGAAGATTCTGTTGAATAAGAACAAAAAATTTATACAAACTTATGACATTTGCAATGCATTCGCAACGCCGTCTCCTTAGATGGGTAGAAAGATACTGCCTAGCTTTTGGTAGGTCACTTCATCGATCCAGATCCACACATACTATACTATAGCATGGTCATGGACATACGAAGAAACACAAGTTTGTCCCGAGGCGAGGCGATTACTTTATGAATTCGATTAGTGTGCGTTGCAGTAGTTTCAAACAAAGCATCATTTATTTATTTATTTATTTTATTTTAGGAAGGTTTACAGCTATCAATCACTTATTAAATAAACAAAAAACAATATCTAAAAGCCAATTAAAAACCTCCACATATTAAACATGCTTATATAACTATAACTATCTCATAATCTTTTATCCTACTATAATATGCTTACATGCTTATAATATGCTTCATATCACAATATGTATATTTATTACAGTTAACAATTTATACTATCTTTAAAAAAAAAGAGAAAGGAAACAGACGCCAGTTTGAATATTGAGCATACCCACTTATTTAATTAATGCCTATTTAAAATAAATCGAAGCTTTAGTTCGTCTGACTGTCGCTGGGCTTGTCGAGAATAAGTCGTTCTCAATGCTGTACTTGTTGTAAGTTTTACATCCGCATGGATGGATCATGGATGGATATATGATGTATTAATACTCATAACAACACACATAACATTCTTGGGTGCTGCACGTCCTCTATCAACTTCAGGAACTATAACTTAAACATTAGATACAATTTCAACACAGGGAAATTTTGAATTAGACAGTGAAACCATTTTGTTTGCCTGTTCCTGTAGACCTGATTTAGCACATTCTCTTTCAACATTTATGCTGTTCTTTCTGAAACAGAGCTTACATGTTTAATTTGCTCCAAATCCTTCATTCTCATTGCTTTCTCCGCAGATAACGTGTACATATTCATGACAGTCTAAGCACTTGTGAGCTCCCGACGTCTCATTTTTACAAACAGCACATAACTTCAATCAGTTAATGGAAGTCCATTCTTAGATAAAGGTCTCTTCTAGAGACCCCTACACACAAAAGTCTGCGCTTTCTAGTAAACTCGTACGACTTCATCTGCAATCGCTAGCGGCCACCAATCCGCATTGATTCTGCGTGGTAAAATAAGGCCAGTTCTGACTGGTTGATTCTTAAGGAAGTTCTGTGCCACAGCAGCTTTTTTGAAGTGAAACTTCTTTACGCACGCTTATCTTGGGGAATAAGCTGGCGAACGCGTTACGAAAATATGATCGGGCGAGGCGAAGATAAGCAAGAGAAAGCAGTGCACGCGTACATGTTCTTTCTCTCTTATACTTAGTAAATGAAATATGTATGGCGGCATATGAAACTAATAAAACACGCTAAGACAGACTATAGACAAATAAGAAATGGGCAGAGATAATCCTGTCCCCTATTTGAAATTATTTCAAATAACGTTAAACGTCTATTTCTTCCATTCTAAAGAGCTTCCATACATTAGTGAAAACAAAGGAAAAACAGAACGCGAAAAGCACTTCAGGATAGCAGCGTAGACTGACTACTGGGCGAAGTTTCAACTGTTATAGGTAGCGGCAAACTTATTGAGCTAAACACAGACAAATAAACTTGCGCAGAAGAGGTTTAAGTATGTAAAATTGCCACTGCGCAGGCTTCCTTGTTTTTATAGAATTATTGATTCGATACTTTACCATTGCTAGAGCTGCTGCTGCTGGATCTTGGGTTATTCGCAGCGTTGGCGTTTTGCAGGGCGATTAGCTGAGACAGGTGAACCGGCCGTCTTGTTTCTTGGCCAGCAGGAGATTGCGCTTGTCTGTAATAACAATATTGTCTGTTTTGAAATGAACTGAGGTTTGCTGGTGCCGTATCTTACGCGAAATGACCTATAATATAATATAGCTTATAGGTCACCTTGCTTAGGATTGCGTAATCATGCATTCACTCTCTCTACTGGGGCCAGTGTAGGTGACTGAAACCCACCAAGTCGGCAATGGTCTTAAACTGGCTCTTGCCCAATGTAAGAGCGTCAGATATTTCGTGCTGACGCCAGTATACCAACGTGATCCGTGAACGCGTTAAGTGTCCGAAACCGGAGGTGACTTTGCCAAACCAGTGAAGCATCGCAACCAGGGCTATGAGAGGATACCGTACCCTTTCTTTCGAGGCCGCCTGCGTCCTAGCACCAACTCCCCCGTGGGAGCTTGAGTTCAATGTGCTTGCAGCGATGCATGACTGCAGAGTGAATTGCAGAATCCGCGGGAACCGACTGGGACCTGAGGAGTTTAGCACGTTTGCGGCGGAGGATGCCCTGATGGCAGCATGGTCTGAGGGTTTGGAGAACCCCGAGTATGTAGTCAGGAAGATAGACACCGTACGTCCGGTGCTCGCTCAATAGGTAGGTAGCATGGGTGGCATGGGTGTCTCACCTTGCGATTGGTGCAGGTGTTTTCAGGGCACGGATGCTTCATCCACTACCTGTTCCGAATTTGAAGGGAGACTACTCCGTGACTGCGGGGCTGCGGATGACTCGGCTTCGATACCAGCAGGTAGGTTTGTGCTTATTCATTAGGTAAATAAGTGATACTCTATCAATCACTACCTGTGATGACATACGGAGCCGAGACGTGGACACTGACGGTACGGCTGGTCCACAGGTTCAAAACCGCTCAGCGCGCTATGGAAAGGGCTATGCTCGGCGTTTCTCTGAAGGATCGCATCAGAAATGAGGTAATCCGACAGAGAACCAGAGTTATCGACATAGCCTACCGGATTAGCAAGTTGAAGTGGCAGTGGACTGGCCATATTTGCCGAAGAACCGATAACCGTTGGGATAGACGAGTTCTGGAGTGGAAACCGCGTCTAGGCAAACGTAGTGTAGGATGTGCTCAGGCACGATGGAGTGACGGTTTGCGCAAGGTGGCTGGCAGGAGCTGGATGCGAGTAGCCCAAGATCGATCTGAGTGGCGTGCATTTGGAGCGGCCTATATCCAGCAGTGGACTAAGATAGGCTGTTGATGATGGTGAAATTAGAAAAGCGATCACGATGATTTACGAAGACTACGTACTGATGAGCGATTGGTTGTTGGTACAGCGTATCCTAAGGCGCTTTAAGTATCTACAGCTGTGGCCAATGCAATGTGGCGCCAGCAGCCAGGTTTGTGCCTCATCATTAGGGAAATTAGAAAAGCGATGATGATGATTTATGTAGACTACGTACTGGTAAGCGATCGGTTGTTGGTAAAGCGTGTCGTAAGGCGCTTTGAGTGACTGCAGCTGTGGCGACTGCAACTGCGGCGCCAACAGGTAGGCGGGTTGTTGCGGCGCTAGCGGCAGCGGCGAGTATACAGCCTGGCCTGAAGGATCCAGCAACACTGCGTTCTGATAGCCTGTAATACCAGAAATAGTTATAATTGCAAATACATTTTAGTCTCGTCATCTCCACGGGTTAGGGGATTGGATCAGGGTAGGTAACGGCATGAGTGATATTTTACCATCAGGCGGGCCATAAGCTTGTTGGTCACCCTTTAAACATAAAAAAAATGGGTGCGTGTACTTATGTAGGCGCGTGAGAAGTTATCCTTCTTTGGCATCGTTTAAAATTAGATTTAATTGCATGCAAATAATTAATTACAATAAATTACTAAAAAGTCTGGAAAAGGACACAGTCAATAAAGTTCAGTTTTAATTTGAAAAAATAAATAAATAATCAAAATATTCAATTAAAAACGCTACTGAATATAATTTATTAGAACATATGTGATTTGCACTTGTATGAAACTCAAACACGTATTCCGAATATACAAACTAGAAACATGTGGATAAATATTATAAATATGAATACCTATAATAACTGTTACTTTATTACAAAAAATAAAGATGTGGTTGTTGGTTCTACTACACCAATGGTCAAGAGATGGCGCTGTAGTCTCCTGAATTGCGCTTTGGTTCCGTTGTTCCAGATTAATAAATACTTTTGATATTATAAATATGAATACCTATAACTGTTACTTTATTACAAAAAATAAAGATGTGGTTTTTGGTTCTACTACACCAATGGTCAAGAGATGGCGCTGTAGTCTCCTGAATCGCGCTTTGGTTCCGTTGTTCCAGATTAATAAATACTTTTGATAGGCCTTCACAATTCAGTCGTTAGCACCCACTAAATAGAGATTCTATTTTGTTGGTAGATTTTCTTAATGTGCGGTAAACACAAAAGTAACGCATGAAGTTCAACTTCATGCTGTTAAAATTTTGTGTTACAGTGATGCGCGCGCATCTTAAAATTTCACTCTCATCATTTTTTCATAACGCGCCTAAAGAAGTATAACTTCAAAAAGTAACGATAATAGTATGAAATATGAATAAATCGGTCAAAAAAACAGTCGTTGACCTGATTTCATTGACCATATTCCGTTCCGATTCCGTTTTATAGCAACAGTTGTTATTATAAATTAAATAATAACAATCAAATAACAAAGCTCTAATAAGACCAATCTAGAGTGTTTCCCTGTGTTTGATTATTGAAAATGTTAAATCCTATGACGGTTAAAACCGGATGATTGGATTTCGGTTAAAAGCCGGTTTATTTACAACAATCTCAATCGAAGCAGAACTTGTTTGAGTTTCCGTTTCCGCCTTAAATTTCATTGACAAGAAATCTTTTACTTGGAGCAATAGGTTATTGTTGTAGGTTGTTTTTTATTTATCAGTAATATAAAGAAATCACCGATTGTAATAATAACACTGACCGTTGATGACGTTATGTGGGTAGCCAGCGTTGGCCTGAGGAGCAGCTGCCACGATGTACACAGGCTGGTAGCCTCCGATGGAGCCGGGCCTGTAAATCAAATAGATTGCAATTGAGCTTGGTGTCACGCCAATGCAGCAAGATTAGTTTATAATAATGTTATTATTATTAATAATAATAATAAATAAAGACCATTTATTTTCCTCTCCATATTTTTTTGTACATTACAGAAGCGCAGCTTAAAAATACTATGTCAAGAAGTTTAATTATTGAATAGCAAAGTAAGGAAAACAAAAAATTTGATAAACGAACGACTCTAAACATTTGATAAATTTTTTTTTCTTCCACTGTAATTAGAGTTGTAATTTTCATATTTTCTCTTTAAAGTTTAATATAATGCTGTGTTATTCTCTCCCACTATGAGGTGTGATGTGGTGTGGTGTAGAGAAAATTAAGCATAATTTTCATTTTTTGTCAGATTTTCTGTGCCATTATTATTTAATTTCACAATTTTTTTGTAATCTTCATTTTGTATTCACATAAATGCTTATTTTTTTTTTGGCATGATTGTTCAGTCAACTGGTCAAGAAGCAGAAGCATCTATGCGCAATAGCTGTGGTGAAAAGTTCATTTTGATATATCTTATAAACTTAAAAAAAAAACGTAAAAAAAGTGAAATTAAAAATTTAAAAGGTACGTAATTGATCATTACCGATATCCAGGCACCGGCATATGCACTATGAAGACACGTTGACCCGGTATTAATCCGGGCAGATTTGGAGCGACAGGATTCTGTAATGAAAACAGAAAAGAAAATAATTTCAAATATGAAATTTTCAAAATGTAATTTACTGAAATGTTTTATTTATTTCGTTGGAATTTCATATTTCTCCACCATCATTAGTGAGTGAGCAACTTGAACTTTTCCAACCTGATTTATATCTTATAGAATTTCTCAAAATTCTTCTTAAAATAATCCACGTAAAGAAAAACAAAGGACATGGCTAAGAAACTGCCCTTAACGTGTATAAATATTTAGCACTAGCCCGTAACTTTACAATATTTTTTTTATTAATTATTACGTGTTTATTATTCTCATACAACTTTCGTGTAATATTCAAATATTTAGGAGTATAAAAATTGACTTCCTGTCTGTTTCAACAGCAAAATGTTCCGTTTTACAAAATAAATGAAGAATAAATGAACACAAATAATATTTGTGTAAGTATATCGAAATAAACAATATTATTTCTAAACTCTTTCAAACTAGAAGGCTTACTTGGCCCTATTTTTTATTATAACAAATCACTGAAGGCCTAAAATAATAGATTTTATTATTCTGATCAGGCTTAAGACAAGGCTGTGTGATAATCAATCTTTTAATTTTTGCTTTAAAAAACTTTTTGTGAAGAGTTAATCATAGAAATGGGAAGAAAGATTCTAAGAAAATGCGAAATTGATGACTCTGTAAATAATTGTCAACATCTCTTATCAACATAGTAGGAGTTTTCATAATTTTCAAGATTGTGACTTTATCAAAAGTTCCTGAGTCTTTTTTCATAGAGATTATAAATATTCAGCCATTTACCATTAAATATTACTTAGTACAGTATTTATACATTGCCAGTGCAGTCGCTCATACAAAACTTTACCATGTCCTTTGTCTAAACAAATGATAATTTGATTTTAAATATATTAAGGATTGATATGACTTAAATTTAGCCAATGAAAGGGAGGGATAAGGTATAGCGGATTGTCCTATCTGGGGAAGTGATCTCAACCTTATAAAAGATCACAGTAATCTTGAGGTAGTGTTGTGTTTTTGTCGGTGATTCAGGTTCCAGGGTTTCATGGGGTAGGGGACTAGGACAGTAACAAATATTTTTGCTATCGTAAGCGACTATAGGCCATGATGGCCACTTACCATCAGGCGGGCCATAAGCTTGCTTGCCACACTTTTAACATAAAAACGGAAAACTTCTATACATTTGAAACGTGTAGTCTAACAAAACGCGTGGACCACCACATGGTTCGTTAAGTGATCAAAGGGAAGTCCAGTGCCCCAGCAGCGAGGGTATTCATAGGAAGATGACGATGGTGATTTGAAACCATAGAGCAACACGGCCGACGCGGCCAGGAGGGGAGTAGGCATACACAGCTTTCTCCACCTTCCAATTGGGCATACAAACGATAAATGTGTGTGTCGTTTGGTGATGTATTGTCTCATTATTTGTGTGTGAGTTGCGTTATTACAATATTGTTTTTACGCAGGTATGTCTCTTAAATTGCTTTTGTATGCGAACCCCCTCCGCTCGCATAAATTGGCGGAATGCTTTTGAATAGTATTGTCACTATGGCTACTCACTTCCTTATTGCTCTATGTTTGACAAATGCACCATTTTTTAAAGTTATAAATGCATTTTGTGCATTTAATCGATTACCGAGTTACAGATGCATATTGTGGATTTTGTTGCTAACCTGCTGTGGTGGCTGCTGCGGCTGCTGCGCCCCTGGGATCAGTTCCACCTCACTGTCAGGCTCCAAGGTCTCTAACCGTGACGGTGCACCTCTCTGCCCGTTACTTGATGCTGCATAACACAAATTATTTTATAAGTTTACTTTATTACGTTTAAACTATTGTTTTAATACTTATTCGTTATGTTATTCTTTATTAACTGCAATACCTGAAAGAATATTTTAAATCTTTTTAGGTTGGAAACAGTGCTCAACCGTCGGTCGGCGCTGACAATGGTTATGTCCAGTAGCTTCAATGCAAACCTAAGAATGCGCTATTTTTTTTAGTGTGTATGCTGTTGATCACAGATGACCTTTACAGCGTCAGCGGGTTTGGGGACGGCGAGATCCTAAGGGGACCTCAAGCCGAGAATTGGCGAGTGCCTCTAGAGGTATTCCAGGCGGACGGCATCTCCCTACGCTGACTGATGATTTGCTACGCGCGTACAGCTACGTCCCGCTGACAGAAATTTTCGGTCAGGTCTTGTTCCCACTGGACCTTCAGGATTCCACCCAAAAGCAGAAAGTGCCTATAGGACCTCATTTATACATAAAGCCCATTCTTAAAAAATTGGCTATGAGAATGTAGTATGTGTATAGTGACCGAGCAAGCGCGCGTATGTATGAACTTTGAACCGCACTTTGAACTGTCTTAGTTCGTCGTCAGCGTAGCACTAAATGAATTTTTAACCGACTTCCAAAGAGGTTCATTATATTTTTATATTGTTGTAGACCGATTTTTAACCGACTTCAAAAAAGTAGGAGGTTCTATGTTCGACTGTATATATATATATATATATCTACTAGCTGACCCAGCGAACTTCGTATCGCCATAAAAATATGGGTGGAAGAAGGGTGAAAATTTAGATCTGTATGTATTTTTAATGCCACATTAAAAAATAAACCAAAATCTAAAAAACTGTTAGGGGTGGACAACCCTTATCACTTAGGGGTATGAAAAATAGATAATAGCCGATTCTCAGAGCTAGTTAATATGCATATAAAGTTTCAAATAAATCGGTCAAGCTGTTTCGGAGGAGTATGGTAACTAACATTGTGACACGAGAATTTTCTATCTTTATATATATAATTCTTCTGTGAGTGTGTATGTCACTGAACTTCTCTTAAACGACTGGACCGATTTTGATGAAATTTTTTGTGTGTGTTCAAGGGGATCTGAGAATGGTTTAGATTCACAATTTTGTCCGCTGGACAACCCCTATTTTTTTAGGGCGGTACGAAGTTCGCTGGGTCAGCTAGTATATGATAATAATCTTGACCCCGCCTGACTTCCAAATCATGAACCTGATATCATTTTTTAATTTTTAGTTCCATTTTTGAAGTCGGTTTCTTTTTTTGTTTATATTGTGTTTGGTTATTTTACGAAGTATGGAAGAGATCTCAGGTCAGGCATCTGTAATTAGTAAGTTGATGTTGTTCTGGCTTGTGAAAAGTGGAAAATAAAAGCTTTTTTAACATAAAATAAAAACCTACTTAATAAAAACAAAACCACTAAGAAAAGTAACAATAATTTAGATCTTTTAACATGCATAGCACCGACTTCAAATGATAATAATAATAAATATTTCCAACACTCACACCAATTAGCCTAGCCATAAAGTAAGCACTATATATAAGGCTTGTGTAATGGGATACTAGGGTAATGGATAGAATACATATACTGTACATATTAAACATCCATGACTGGAGTACAAATGCTCGTATTCATCACACAAACATCTGCCCCCACCGGGATTCAAACCCGGGACCTCTCGAGTCGGCGACACCCAGCGTACAAACCACTCGGCCACAGAGGTCGTCAAATGATAACAATATGCATTATTTCTTTCTTTTTAGTAGTTTTGTTTATATGAAGATGGTTTTTATTTATTTTTTAAAAAATCACAATAGTCGGTCAACTCTGATGATCAGGACGTACCAATCATTCGGCCGAGCACTGTACTCTTAGCACGAATCAATATCGAATTCGTATCGTTTGCGAGAACGACATGTCATTGTCAAATGTGTACTGATTTTTAGTTCTTGTTAAGTAAGTTATGGCGCTGCTGTTCAAGTTTTCATACAAAATTTGGCAATGCCATTTCGGATTCGCAAACTATTCGAATTCGATAATGGTTCGTGCTAAGGGTATTTCCAGCCTTTTTTTAACGATAACAATACCAACCTTGTCTTTGTTGAGTTTGGCCGTAGTAGTTAGCAACATCTTGATTTTGTAAATAGTATTCGAACCTGAAATAAGATATTTATATAAGTGCTCATGTTTATATTTATTTCTTATGTTTTAACAAGCTATAATTTAATAAAACACTTTTTGCACGGGTATAGAGTGCGCCTTGTAGATTTTAAAAAATCTTGACGTTTCACATTATTTTACAGTCTTGCGACCACAGGCCTATAGTAGCATCGAAATTCGAAACATCAAGAAAAGATATATAATTTGAGCTCTATACTAATATACAGATGTGTGCAAACGAATGTAGTTGCAGCCGTTCTGCAGTTGTTTCGTTGGGATTGGGACCAATGAATACCTTTACAAGTATTAAATATTTGAAAGACGAAATAGCAATAATAGCAATAATGTAACTGCTCGAAGTTCTTTGTGATATCGTAGAGGCAGATAGCGGAAGATACGGGTTCGAATCTTTTCTGAAATTTGGGCCGAGTGCAATAAAATAATAAATAAATAAATATTTCCAACACTCACACCAATTAGCCTAGCCCCAAGCTAAGCACTATAAGGTGTTATGGGATACTAGGGTAACGGATAGAATAAATATATTGTACATATATAAGTATATTCATACAGAAATACATATTAAACATCCACGACTGTAGTACAAATGCTTGTAATCATCACACAAACATCTGCCCCCACCGGGATTCGAACCCGGGACCTCTCGAGTCGGCGACACCATGAAACCCGGCGTACAAACCACTCGGCCAAGGAGGTCGTCTCAATAGTTGCAATAGATTTCAATGTACGAGTATATAGGTACATATACTAACGGTTGAATTTGCTGCAGGTGCGCTGGCGCATGTTGCCTGTACGTCGGTGGAGCCGCACCGACCACGACGCTCACAATCGCCAAAACGTACTGAAATCACAGAAAGAACAAATTAATACTTTTTTATTTTAATTATTAAACTGTTAGATTTATTTCTAAAGAAAATTAGTGTCATTTTATGTAATAATATCGCACTTTTATTCCAATACTGTCATTAAACAAAATTCTTCAAAAAATAGTTTACAACGCCATCTATTTGTTACGTTATGAATCTACACATTACTTCAAATCCTGTATTTTAATTTTATTTTATGATAGTGACAGTATTGGAATAAAGGTGCGATATGTACTTGATTGCTATCTCTTGTTTCGAATGTTTGATAGTTAATTGTAAGAGAGGTAGGACACAGAGGATTTTAGCTCGAATTGGGGCGCCCGTCTGGGGAAACTACTTTCACCTTACAGTACCAATATCAAATTCGTATCGTTTGCGAGTCCGAAATGTCATTGTCAAATGTGTACTGATTTTTAGTTCTCGTTATGTACTTTGCGCCGCTGTTGTCCAAGTTTCCATACAAAATTTAACATCGACATTTCGGTTTGCAAAATATTCGAATTCGATAATGGTTCGTGCTAGGGGTACTGAACACAGTAAATTTATTTATTGGTTTATAATCAGGCAACATAGGTGCATAGACAAATACCTTATAGTCTAACATATATACCGCAGAATCCGTGTGTGATTTGTAACAAGTGAGTTTATCTCACAGAATAATACGATGCACGATGAAAGGGCAAACGTTTCCACCGCCCATCCAAGGCGCTAATAACCGATTCGTTTACAATCCAACGAAGGATACGTGAGTAAGCAACCTCCGCTCCGTACCGACGAGGTCCCCAGAGGCCGACACGCGGAAAATGTAACGAAACACGACGATGGAAGATCGCGAAACACTGCCGGATTTAGGGGAGGGCAACTGGGGCGAAAGCCCCGGGGCCTCCACAAACGGGGGCCCCCCACAATAGACTTGGGGGAAAAAAATCTTTTAAATTCCAACTAGTAAACACTAGTAAACATCTTTTCCTTTGATATTTTTTTTTGCTCTTTTACCTTTACATACAGCCTACAGTACTTTTTACATCTAACATACAGGATTATTTGATTATATTAATCTTAAATAACAGAAATCATTGATCTATATTTGTTCAATCCAATCAGGCAATCAGTGAAATATCAAAATCTCAAATAGCCCTGATAAGCACTTCCAATTCACTACCCATCTTGAGGGAGTACCCCAATCGCTTAATGGCTGAGTGGGGTGGTACTTGCCCGCGGGGCCGAATTTAAGGCAGGGCAGGTGAGGATGTGGCCCAGGGGCCTCCACAACAGCTTAAGAAATAACAACATTTGGATGGGTTAACAAGAATACAAATCCTAAGTGGCCCGGGGCCTCCACAATCCTAAATCCGGCCCTGTCGCGAAATTCACCCACTTAACACGCAGATGCCGGGGCAGATTACGGGAGCCCCATGAGGATACTCAGTAATCCGAGTCGGATCTCCTTGATGTGTTTCGTAACCTTAAGTTTAAAATGCGGTCGTCATAAAATTCTTTGAAACTGGACCATGCTATGATTACTTAGAAAAGGTAATGGCACCTTTTCTTATCACCTCTTTAAGGAAATGCTACAATTTACATGTTTTATCTTATCTAATAATATTTTAGTCACATTATTTATTTTTTAATCATGTAACTGCTTGATGTTTTAATCTAAAGAAAATATAACTAGAAAAAAATCCACGCGGACCAGGCAGCAGACGGGACTCGAACCGCTATTATGCTACCGCGGCCCTGATGGCCGCGTCGAAATTTATCTAGCCATTCGTAAGCTGCAAGGCAGCGCCATCTCTTTGCATTGTAGGTATCCCACAATGTCAAATGAATACTTTTACAAGTATTGTATTACATTTGAAAGAAGAAATAGCAATATTTTAGTGTTAAAATGTGCGTAAATACGAATAAAAATGTTTTTTTAATGAATCGTGTGATGAAATGATATGAAATCAATAGGTGTATGCTTTATTCAAATTGACCCTTTGGAAGATATTTTTTTTATGGTCTAATATTTTTTCCTACCTCCCTATTCAGGACGCCTTTGAGCTTATAAGAAGAATGGAAGCAAGGAACTTATAAGCATTTCACGGAAGTAACAACATTTACATAAAATCATATCCCTACAATACAATTAATGAGATATAATAATTATGTTGTACACAGTGATGGTGAATTAATAAATAATAACCAAATCTGCCGTCCTCAAACTAAAGTGCGGCTTAGTGATGGCACATCTGCCGTCCTCAAACTAAAGTGCGGCTTAGTGATGGCACATCTGCCGTCCTCAAACTAAAGTGCGGCTTAGTGATGGCACATCTGCCGTCCTCAAACTAAAGTGCGGCTTAGTGATGGCACATCTGCCGTCCTCAAACTAAAGTGCGGCTTAGTGATGGCACATCTGCCGTCCTCAAACTAAAGTGCGGCTTAGTGATGGCACATCTGCCGTCCTCAAACTAAAGTGCGGCTTAGTGATGGCACATCTGCCGTCCTCAAACTAAAGTGCGGCTTAGTGATGGCACATCTGCCGTCCTCAAACTAAAGTGCGGCTTAGTGGTCGATTTTTGCGCCCTAAATTGCATCTTATATAGTTTTTAATTCTCTATCGATCTGTCTTTAACAAGTATTCGTATCTTTTATAGTTTTAGTCTAAAAATCCGTCATGTGCTGAATGGTTACAAAATAGCAATAATTTTAAGTTTACGAGCCGTTTTTGGCCATATCTCAAAAGTTGGTTTTGTCATTTAACCGCAGTGGCGGATTGACAAATTTGTCGCTAATAGGCTATTCAATTTAATAATATTATACTACTACCCTACCGTGGTAGGGGTACCACGGTAATATTATCTATTCAGTATTGTGACTCCGCTCTGTCCTTGAAAATAAATGCCTGCGGCCGAGCGCTGCGTTAGCACGCGGTAGGGCCGCCTGCCTACAGTATTTTATGTAGTTTTGTTTTTAACGCGAGTGTAGGTAAATTGCTCGTTTGTCTATTTTTTCATCCTAACCACTTATTTATATACTATTCCAGATATTTTGCCCGATGGAAAAATAACCTAAATACTAGAAACAAATTACGTAAGTACTGGTAGATAGGTATATAAAAAATATTCTATAAAGGTAAGACACCTTTCCAATATTTTAGGTAATTTAAAAAATGATATCTCTGGGTGTGTTATTGAAGAGTTCAAGCAACCAAAAACAGCAATTGTGCTGTTGTACGATATTGAGCGTCGTCTGTTCTTTTCCACACTAAATAATGTAGATAGATATCTACTTAATTAAATCAAATATTTACAATACAAAACGCACGTTTAAGCACGGCTAACTGCATAAAAAACAATTCAGACCGTTCGGTCGTCGTTGCGGCGCGGCGGCGCATTCGCGACTGGGTGCCCGCCGAGAGCCCATCGAACTCGAGTGGCGTAGGTATGACTCGCTTTCCGACCGTTTGTATGAAGATAGAATACTGTATGATATTATTACCGTGCCCCTACTGACCTTTGAAATTCAATACGCTAGTTCACAATTATATTTATTCTGAAATTGCAACTTTATGATTTGTGTTCTATCGTCCACATTACGTACGGGCTTTTCCCCGTTAGTTTACAAAATTACTAATATAAATTGTAATTAATATTAAAACGCCATTGGAATATTTTAAAAATTCATGATCGCATAACTACCTATATTTTACAGTGGGTTTAGTAATGTTTTATACAGGGTGTTACAAAAATACAAATAAAGCTTGAAGGGCGTTGAAGTTAATCATATAAAGAGTCTTCTCTAATTTTTTAAAAATATTTGCATGAATTTTTAACTTTATATAAAACAGTTATTTTTAATGATCCTCGAACTAGTGACGTGTCTTAAAATTATCGATATTTTTATTAATCATTAAAAATAACTGTTTTTATAAAAAAGTTAAAACTTCATGCAAACATTTTAAGAAAATTAGAGAAGACTCCTTATATGATGTACTTCAACGCCCATCAAGCTTTATTTGTATTTTTGTAACACCCTGTATACGGATTACTAAAATATTAAAATTTTTGTCACTCGTTTTTCTGGTATATTTTGGGCCAAATTTGTCGTCCCCTAAAATCTGCCGCCCTAGGCTCCAGCCTACTGAGCCTACTGGTAAATCCGCCACTGTTTAACCGCGTTTTAGCTTGAGGACGGCAGAAATATTCATGCGACAGTATCGATTGATTCTGAAACTGCCAGGTAGCTTTGCCCAAAACCGGACAAAAGGTTTAAACTTAACGTATTCATAATGCGTAAACATTAAAAAATAAATATTTCTAACATTCACACCAATCAGCCTTTTCTTTTTTTTTTTTTTTGTGACGAGGGGAAATGCAGTTATGCACCATACCGTGACGCTGACTAGGCGCACGGCGTGTGTGGGACTCGCCGGCACGGGAAACAGTGCCGACCCTACTCAAGCAGGACCAGTGCGGAAGGCCACACTGATCCTACTCCACTAAAACCCCCCGGTACCCTCCTACGCCCATATGGGGGCGTCTCAGGATCGACGCACCTTAGCGTGCGCCACTTCACTGGGACGTCCCCGGGCTGGCCCGGCCCAACGAGTGGACCGGGCGACGCGCCTCAGGGGGACTGCGCTAGGGTACTAGGCAGTCCCCAGACGTGGTGGCCTATGCCGGAGCGGCACCTAGGACGCGCGGCTGGTCAGGCCGCGCCCAGACCTCACACCAATCAGCCTAGCCCCAGAGTAAGCACTGTGTAGTACATATATAAGTATATTTATATAGAAATACATATTAAATATCCATGACTAGAGTACAAATGCTCGTATTCATCACACAAACATCTGCCCCCACCGGTATTCGAACCCGGGACCTCTCGAGTCGGCAACACCATGAAACCCGGCGTATAAACCACTCGGCCACTTAGGTCGTTAAGTTGAATGAGATACCTAATATAAGCGGATATAGGGCGAGAAGCTTTTAAA